TAACTCCTCTATCGATGTATGCAGATGTATTCAAAAGCAGTAATCTGCCAAACTAAAATTTGCAGATGTTCATGAAAGGTATGAAGCCTTCGGCATAGCCGAAGACAGCGCTGCTCTTACTTGTTATACTTTCCTTTACTCTTACTATTAACAAAAATCTTTATCCAAGAAAATTATTCTCTTAAATCTATTTATTAAAGACATTTATTTATATTATCTATTATGACCATTTGGCTAATTACTGGGAAAGGGTCTCCCAAATTAAGTGGTTATAGCATGTGGACATTGTTAAGTAGATGTTGTTGTTTTTGATTTTTGTAATTTAAATTTACTTGCAATTAAATAGCTAAACAGATTTGGTTTTATTAACATTTTGCCATGTAGAAGAATGTAACGAATTTTCCCTTTTTAGATATTTTTCAATTTCATAAATGTATGTCGTTTGTTCGTTAGATAGATAATAAACATCAGAATATGATTTGATATGATAATTTTGAAAGTTCCATACAATTTTAACATAATTTAGAGAATAATTATGACTTTATTGCAATTGTTGTAATTATCCTTTATTTAGTGTTCCATGGACTCCAACGTATTCACTTCCTTGTTTTGACTTCATTGTTGCCAAAGAAGAAACGCTATAACTTTTATTAGCCAAGATACCACACATAATTATTACCCATTATAGTTAATAAAGTTAAAGGGCGCAATGGGTGTTTGTGCCGCTGTCGAGGGGAGAGGAAGGGGCATGGCGATAACTTATACGATGCGCAAATTTCGCTATCCAAAAGCGATTGTTTTGTTAGAAGGCGATTTAATTTTACACCTCGCCCCTTCCCATCCCAACAAATTTCATCTTTTGCGGACTTTATAGGCCATAAAAATGGAGCTTTACGATGCTTTCATGTTGTGAAAATAAGAAGTTTTTATGGAAATATCTATCTATGTGCATATGTATATAAATATATAAGTATGTCTGTATGTTTTTACGTAAATATGTATTAAAAAAAACAGCAGCTGTGCTAATTAAATTTTTATTTATTTATTTCGATTTACAAAGGGAAACTCATGAGCGATTACGCCTGCTGATCGGTAGATATACTTTCAGACTTAACCCTCTGCCCAACGGCACTTAAGCTGACGTTGTCGCCTCTGGCACCGTGTAATCGTGTAAGTTACTATAGAAAATATGCAGAAGTGCACTCTCCTGTCCACACAATCCATGGAAGTCATCCAAATCGACGCTCCATGACATGGCGCCAGCATAGCCCTTTTCCTTGATAAAGTCCATTTTAATTT